GGTACGAGGTGCCTTGCAGGTCGAATTTCCTGCCGTGCTGATGCACCCAAGCCTGGAGTTGATTGCTTCGGTATTGCAAAGCCCGCGCGGTCCCGGGATTGGACAAGTCCCAAACCAGCCAGCCACACATATTGCATCTCACGGGACGGGCGTCACATCTCAGCCGATGCGCGGCCAAGTGTCTGCGCTGCCAGATTTGGCGTACCGGGTCTCATTAGGCGAGCGGGCGAAGGATGCCTGCGCCGTATACCAAGAAGGCAGCAAGCCTGGGACCGGGAACGCAGGACAGGTCGGAAGCCGGAACTTGATCTGGGTCCGGCCGGCCGGTTAATCAGAGGGCATTTTGTGAGCATGCGGCGGTGCCTCTAGTGGACGTTGGTCGGAACACTGTACAGCCATGAGGTAGTGGTGGTAGTGGTGGTGGTGACGAGTCTGGAACTGACGAGACGGCTCAGCTGTATTCAGAAATGCGGACCTTCGCCCACGGTACCGATGAAGGAAAGGTCGGGATGAACAATCAAATGGCTATAGTTCTTTTTACGCGCATCTGCAATAGCTATTCCAAGCTGTGCAGGTGTTTGCCGTCCTCGAGCTTAGACGCAAAGTGGCAACATGAAACGGCGGCTAATCTACTCCCAAACCATTCGCTGTCGTGCCTCTTTTCCTCCCTTCTCACAACTGCCTTTCCCACTCTGTCTGTCGCCCACATGACGAACCAAACAACCTGCATGCACGGTAAATGCAACTCTTCCAGAGGCTTTCTGGAAGTAATCGGAGTCAGCGTCGCGACGTGATGTGCATGCACAGTCCCTTGGTTCGAAGGCATCCGCTTGAGGGCGTGCCTCCATCAAAACACCATGAGCAGCAACAACGCATGACAACGCTGGCTTCGGACGAACTTTACCAGATCAGACGTTTCATCCCATCTTTCGCAGCCTGAGAGATCCATCTGCATCATCTTCCAAAAGGATCGACTGCTTGAAGCTTTTGCAGACATACCCGTTCATCCCAACTCCTTCCCCTCATGGCATGGCCTCCTACCCCAACCTTCAGACGAACTCTGTGATCCTCTGCTCGCGCGCCATGACTCGCGATTGACAGCGTGGTTCTGCATAGGACGCGCCTGCGCATTGACACGGCGACTCTGCCGGGTAGGGACACCACCATCTGGGGAGCATGCCGCAATGCAACCCTTACATTCGCGAGACTCGAAAATCCGGGTAAATCAGCCCTCCCCTTTGACAGACGCAGACGTGCACCGAAATGTGCAGCATCTCGGCTTACGCCACAGCTACAGGGTACAAGGGGGGACAGGGAGCTCCCCCTTTCCTGTATCTCGCATCCTCTATGTGTGTCTTCTTCTCTCTCGGCCTCATATCGGGACCACTGGGCCGCAGGTCCTGGAAAGGAACGCGCATTGGCCAGCATGTTAAATTGATTGCCGGAATTTCTGCAAATGAAGCCCTGAGCCGGTTTCCTGGAAAAGAGGCCCTTCTCTTCGGCAATCTGCCTGGGACAGACGATTCCCCCCCCTTCCGCACAGATTGCGGCCCTGCCTGGGCACCTCGAGTGCCGTGTTGGCCCTGCCGCGGCCTCTCACACCCTTCCTCCCAGGTCCCGACCGGGAATCGCCTTATTGACTTCTCCAGCCGCCTGGGGGGGGATAAAGAGTCGAGCCAGAGTGTCATCCGGCCCCGAGGCATGGATCTGCAACGTTACGTACTCGACCTTTCCCTCTTTGGAGAATTGCCTGTATCTGTGTCGGCACCTCGTCTTGGCCGACCCTCGTGACAGATGATCCAGCTCGAGATACCTGGCCCACGGGCGTGGCGTTGTGTGTGTGTGTGTGTGTGCCGTCAACTCTGAGGGCCGGTGGAGGTTGCCGTTTCACGCAGAGCCTCGTGATACACGTCACTGGAGGCTGGTGTGTGTGTGTGATGTTTCAAGGGCGTCCTTGCCGAGCTCGAGGCTTGCCACAGGGCTGGGCGGCTGACGAGACACTTGTCCCCTCCAGGAGCAGGCAAATTGGGCCTCAAGGAGTCTGATCTACGTTCATCTGAAGTTCTCATGATGCTTCAGATCCTGATTCCAAATGCTACCCGAGCCGCTTCTCTCCCCTCCTGCTCGCTGCATCCGTGCAGAGATCTACCCTGCGTGCGTGGGCGTGTCCGTACCTCCAGATCTGCATCTACGCCAAGGTGTGCCCAGCAGAGACTCATTATAGGGGCGTACGACGAGCAAAGCTATGGACGGGGTGCGGGACGTCAGTCGTTCCGCGACGCCTCGTCAGCGGCGGCCACCATAGAGGCCTGCTTAGCATGACGTTGCAAACGAGGTCCCCGCGCCGGGAAAAAAAAGATCGTACTACATGTTGGGCCAATTTCATGACAGGTAAAGACGGTACGGTGGTATCACTGCTGTCTCATTATAGGGCGTGCGAAGAAGTCTTCTGCCTCCAAGTGGTCAATACTCGGAACAGCAACCGGGTCTTTGCTGACCGGATGGCCAACAGCTTTTTTTTCATGTGTCGAGCAGTACTTGGTTCTGCTTTGATGACAGCTTCGTGTTGCGGTGGCTAATATGGGAACTTTCTCAACGTATCCCGGGGCCGGCTGGCTGACGAGACCAACAGAAGTCCAGGAAAGGATCTGTGTGCTCAACGCCTCGTTTTCGTCACTATGAGACTTGTCCATATCGAGAAGCTCTCGGGAAGTAACCTATATCAAAGGCTAGAGACTCAGTGGAGGGTCTTGATAAGAACCGGGCGAGATCGCTCCCCCTAGCGCTCGGCGGGACGGCAAGCTCAACGACACGAGACTTATACGACCTTTGTTATGTTATAGCTTATTTCAGTGGCCTCGGGAATTTGCCTCGTTATCTTGAAACAAAGCAGCTTTCTGGCACCAGCCCCCAACCCTTTCATCGTGAGCTACATGCTCGCCGAGTGGTGACGAACCTTCTGGCTGTTCGTATGTGACCAGCAGAGATGCTGATTACCTTGACAGCTTGCAGCCCCTGACAGAGCTAGGCCAGCGACCGCCGCTCCTCTGGGGTTTGCATTTCTCGTGGTCCCCGGTGGGTGTCGTAACGAGCTATGTCACACTTCAGGGATACACTGTACTATTGCTGATTAGTGTCATAGCTTCCTCTGGAGGGCAATAGATCTCTCCAAGCTTGCTGGATGCCAGTGTAATTGCAGACAACAGACCCAGTTGCACGAAACAAGTGCAGGTCCGTACGTGCCGCGCCTTTCCCAAGCTCACCCCGAAGAGGGCCACAACTCGCCCGGAAAACCTCGAGACCGCACACCCGGACGGCAGCGCTGTCCGACCTCTTGTTTTTCCTGGATCATACGTGACATCCCCTCGGGAGTTGCCTATGCCGGGTTGGGGGGAGCGCCGAGGTCGTTCGCTGTCTGTCTTTTGACCCTATGGAGAAGCGCTGAGAAGGTTTTCTTTGCTTGCGCCGCATGAAAAAAGGGAGAATTGGCAAGCACACGAATATTTCATATTCAGCCGGCCGCCTTCTGTGACACACCCGTTTCTGTTGGGGGTTTTTGGCAACCCTTCCTACCCTCCCCTCCCCACCCTCTCGCCCTCCAGCGTGACTTCAATGCCCTACCGTGGCAGACACCGAGCGGATGCCCTGCTCCCGGCTAGGCAGACATCTTGCCGTGCGCTGATGCGGCGAGGCGAGGGAAAGAGGTAAGAAGTTTGAGCTCAGATGTCCAGGAATCAGGCGTTCCCTGGCACCCGGAAAAGGGATGGCGGGATGGATCTCTCACTCGAAGACGGGACGGTGTTCCGGGCTGCTGGCGGCGGCGGCGGCGGCGGCGGCGCTGGTGCTGGACAGGTTTTTTTGGTGAGAAGGTTTCATCCAAGACAGTTTCGGAGGGCCCGCCTTGGAAAGCAAGAAGACGCCCAAAGTCTTGTGTGATGGCCTGGGCCATGTAGGATGATGAGTGGCAGTCTGTGTAAGGGTTTTTGTTAGCTTTCATCAAGTCAGCGAGATGCCGGCAGGGGGTCACGATGTGATCATGTATGTGAAAGAAGAGTCAGACTTGTTGTTGGAAGAGTTGGCCACGACAGCATTTAGATTCAACGCGGAAAATCTTTCTCATCTCGACCCCGAGTTCTCCGTCCCAACAGACACATACACGCGAGGGGATGTTGAGTCTCGCCATGACCCGACTATATACACAGAAAAGACCCCTCTCCGAAGATAGTCCATTCCACCTCTTCCTCGAGAAAAAAAGGGGCAGGTCCGGGGGCCAGACGACATACGTACGCGCCCTGACCAATACATGATAGCTTCCTCCTACAGTCCACCCTCACATAGACAGGGCCCGACCTTTCCCAACTGGCGAGCATACGGAAGATATATATCCATTTGCGCAAGCCACAATCCCAGAGATATCAGAGTAGTAGAAACGATGTCAATAAGAAAACACACACACAGAGACAGAGAATATTGAGCGACAAGACACACCAACTCTGAGAAGTTGATCAACGTTCACCCAAGAGGGACACTCAAAAGGGCGAAGTCAAAAGGGTAAAAAAAAAGGGGTAGTAAATAGTAAAAGGTGTCTCGGGACAAGCATGTGTATAGAAAGGGTCGAAAAGCCGCAACTCAAGAATTTGTGTGGAAAAAGCAAGGGGCAGGACGGTCGTGGTGGTATCTAATGCCCCAAAGCAAAAGTGCGGAAAGAAGCGCGATATCGTCGAAAAATAAACGCGATGCGATGTTGTAGAAATGGCCAGGGAGCACTGTCCTGGACTGGGCTGGGTCGAGGAGAGAGCACAAGGTTGTATTGAGTCTTGTAGTTGGTGACTTGATGAAAAGTAAAAAGCGTCAGGCTCGTAGATCCATGGTCGCGTGTACAGACCTCTGTCGATCATGTCGTCTATTGCGTCTAGGAAGATTCAAACGATGATTGTTGTTTTGTTCGGTAGCTCCCGATGGCAGAGGGACAAAGTGAAGAAGCACAGCGACAGTGCGTTTTAGGCCTCCTCCATGATACCTCCCTCGCCGCCGCCCTCCTCGCGCCACTCGCGGCTCTTCTCAGTCAGTCTCCGGACTCCGCTGACACGACTGGCCCACAGACCCTCGATAGGTGTGCGGAATGTGAAGGCACGCTGGGAGCTGATCACGCCGATAGCCTGCAGGACGGCCTTGCGGCTGTCACGGCCGAACACGGCAGGGTGGTTGATCCACTCCAGGCTGGACTCGAGCTCGTGATCCAAGGAGGCGACGGTCTTGTGGTCGATACCCGCGGCGGTTCCCATGGCGCCGAGGGCGAGTCCGTCATTGGAGCGGCTGCGGGACATGGTCTGCGAGCCGAATCCGTTGACGGCCGATGATGTGGCTGATGCGGTGGGTGAAGGGGTCCGCTTGCGGTCCGGAGTGGCACTCGTAGGCGATCCGTCGTTGCCAGGATGAGGTGTCGACGGGTTAGACTTGCTGCCAGGCAGGGGAGGAACCGGCGGCAGGCCACCCTTGCCTAGGCCTTTCAGAATAGATCGGGTCTCGTTCAAGAGAGTATGGGCACGGTCGTGCTGGCCCCGGCTGACGAGCGTGAGAGCTCGAGTGAGCATGTCCGAAGTGAGCAGTTCCATCCGCCTCTGCACGATACTGGGGTGTGGCGGGATAGGAGGAGTGTTCTGCCATGACCGGGACTTCTGGCTGGAAGCCGCAGGTAGCATAGTAATGGCGAGAAGCGACGGTCGCGGCATGTGGATGACTGTACCATCACGTAGGATATCGCCCCAGGTCAGATCTGCTTGGATGAGTGGGACCTCCTCCACGGAGACAGTCCTCTGCTCATCCTGATCCATCGGGCCTCCCAAAGCCTCCAGGCCCGAGACAATGGTCTCCCACGCATCCTGTGGCAGCTGCTCTTGGGAGGCGTTGTCAGGCACGATCACCAGCTGAACAAGGATGTCCCGCTTGTCACCGAAGCGCAAGTCACCTAGCGATGCCTCGGCGTCGCGTCCGGTAGCTCGCTTAGTGATTTGCAGCGCACCGCTGATCTTGTGGAACTTCGCCGGGGATCCTTCGGGTAGCTTCAGCTTCAGCTTGACGTTCTGGTGGGATAGGGACTGCATGGATCCCAAGCAACCGGCGAGGCATTCTCTGAGCATCATCCAGTCCTTGACGTAGGTATAAGACGCCTTGGTCCGGGATGACAGCTCGATCATCGTGTCTGGCTTGTGCGTCATGCCCAAGCCAAAGGAGTGGATAGTGATCTTGGCGGCCTCGGCGCGAGAGACGACAAAGTCGACGCTGTCGGCATCCGAGGTTGATGCGTCGCTGATGAGCATGATCGTGGCGATGGGGTTGTTGTACTTGCGCTGCATCAAGAGGTCCATAGCCACGTTGGCGCCCTCAACAACATCGGCACGGTGGCTCTTCTGGCCGACGGGCTTGATTGAACCAAGCACGTTGCTCCAGCCAGGCCAGGCTTTCGTGGTCATGCCCACGATGGGGACACCACCTCCTCCCGACCCAAAGGTGACGAGGCCCATGCGATCCCGCTCACCAAGCGTGTGGACCATGAAACGCAACGCATCCCTGACCAGATTGATCTTGACGCCTTGCATGGATGAGGAGATCGGGACGACGACAACCACATCGATGGGTACGTGGACCGAAGGGAGAAGAGGGCTTTTGGCGAAGTTGGTATACTCTGTCGGTGCCGTTGTCACGGACTTGGGACCGCCCCAAGAAGAAGAATTGACAGATGATACTCGCTGGACCTGGTCGGTGCGTCGCTGCCAGTCGTCCTCGTCCGGCTCCGAAAACTCTCCACGGTCGTAGTCTGGGCTACGCACTGGCGATGTCTCTACTGCGTTCAAGTCGAGCAGGGCTTGCTGCCACAGCTTCAGTTGATTGCGGTTCTCGAACCGTAGGTGGAACTGCGGCAGCTCAGCGACCGACAGGCTTAGAGTGAGGACGTTCTCATCTATGCTGCCAGTCTCAATGACCTCGTTCAGATGCTTCTTGATGAGGATCGAGCCCTTTAGAGTGCAACGTGTGGATTTCCTGGGGGCGCCATTCTCGTCCCACTGTTGCGCGGCGGCATTCTTCTTCTCCTTGACGCAGATAAGCATCTCAGCGAAGAGGAAGCATTCCAGCTCCTGCCAGGAAACCTTGTCCTTTCCGACCCGTAACGTGCCGTACAGACGGAGCTTTCCAAAGCGGCTGAAATCAAGACCGTGCCAGTTCTCCACTCGGCTCCGCAGGTTTTCCGTAATCTCTTCAAGTACCTCGGCCGATTCGTAGGGATAGAAGCGACGAGCACTGCGCGTGGGTGATGGCATCCTCGCGTATGACTCTTCCTGCCTTGGCGGCGGGGGTTGGGCCGGCGGCACATTCGGTTGCAGGTCTTCTGGGTCGGGGCGCCATTTGCTGTCGGGAACCTCGATGGTGACAAGGCAAGTCAAAGTCTGCTGCTGCCGCGACCGAGTGATGGTTGGGAATTCCGATCGAACAGTGACGGTCGGCGCTGGGATAGGGTTCCTGGTGATGGCGCGCGGGCTGGCCAGACTCGTCTCCATGGCCTGGACATCATAATCGTGCGCCCGACGCGGGCCACTCTGAGTCGTCTCGGGGTAACCACCAGACGACGCGACACCCGTAGCCTCGCTGTCGCTTCGGTTGTGCCGGGACGCGGCCGTATACCTCTCCGAGGGCGGGGGCTCACGGCTGTCTCTCAGGCTGCCGCGGGTGGTACTCTCGCGACCCAGGTGGGAGTTGGTGCTTGGTGCATGGCCGTGGTGACTGTGTGCATGCCTTGCATTCGAGCCACGGCTCGGTGGACGCACTGTCTGCTCATCCCAGGGCTGTTGCGTGGGAGTTGGTGTGGTCTGTGACCGGGCATCGTTGAGTGAGACAGACCGGACCATGTTGCTGATTTTCTCGATATCCAAGACGTTGCCGCCTCGGCTAGTGTCCAGGTGCAAGGGCGCGTTACATGTAGGGCAGTACTGCGGGTCAAACTCCTTGATAAACTCGTAGAAGCATGCTTCGTGGGAGACGTGGGTGCAGGAGAACTGCAATATCCTCTCGCCGCGAAGGGTATGCTCGAGAGGCTCTTCACAGACGGCACACTCACTGCCAACAAAGGTGCGCTCCCTCCGGGAGCGGCTGCGGTCTGAAGTCATGACGGATGCTGATCGGCCAACACTATCTCTCGACTTGATCGAGCTCACAGAAGCAGAGGAGCGATGAGAAGGAGGGCGGATGTTGCCGCCAGAGATTGAGGTGTCTAGAAGTGGAGCGAACCATTAGTCCAGTGTGTCATTGGGTTGAGAGGGTTGAGGGAGTTGTGGGAGTTGTGTTGAGAGAGGTAGACAGGGCGCAAACTGATGAGTCCGCTTGTGCAGACAGCTAGGTCACACTTACTCTTCTCCGGGTACTGAGTCAAACCAGAGTAGGATACACCACTGCTGCTGTGTATAGGCCGGTCGTAATCCCTTCTCCCTGCACCGAACCTAGGCTCAAGAGGACTCAGCAGTCCGAGGTCTTGGAGTTGCGATGCCTGGCTCTTTGAGGCCCGCTGTTCTTTCGCGTAACCGTGCGACTTGTGGAATGATCGACTAAACATATGGAAGGTTTTGGAGTGCTGATAGAGGAGGACTATAGCACGAGGCGCAATATGCTGCAAAGGTCTGTCGTGGTGGCGCAAGATATGGTGTCTGTTAAGTGCGCGAGAGGCGATAGATCTGGGAGATCCGCGATGCGACCAAGGCAATATTGAGTGGGCTGTTTCTCGTAGGAGGCAGGGAAAGAAAAGGCGGGCCAAGAAACCGGTTTCCGCTTCAAGGTGGTCTGCGCCTCTGGCTGTATGGTCTTGCTCTTGCGCAAGATTCGAGCAGGCTGTCGCACCAGATCGTGGGCTGGCCTGGGGGTTGGTGTTTCAGCGATGTTGTATCAGCAATGCTTAGACAGGCGGGATGAACTGGGGGCGCATGGCCCTGGGGTGGATCAGCAGGCTGAATATTGCGAGTACAGAGCCTAATATTGTGCAGATATCAGCATCGTTGTCACAGACAAGTATATAAGCAAACTGCTCGTAGGCAATTGGAGGCCGGATGCCTTCTTTTTCTCTCTCCCCTCAGGCTGGCTGGTGGAGGTGGGTTGGGGGTTGAAGCGCAGTCATCGACCAGGCCTGGGGCACTATAATTATTATTCCAAACCACAAGCTGTGCACCCTCCAGCTCCTTTTAGAGCTTTAGCGGGTTGTGCCAGGCGCGGGCCGTTGGGGGCTTCTAGGGGGGTGGTTTTGGGGAATTCTAGGAAGGGGGGGGGGGGTAAGGGGGGACCCAATTCTGAGCTGTGATAGGAGGGGAGGAAACATGTTAGAGCTGGCACACCACCCACCTTTTTTTTTATTTTTCACCTGACAGATAGACAGCGCTCTGTCAAGGTCAAGATGCGGCTTTGGTGATGTTTGGTCGCGACTCAGCCGACAGTTGCTGCTGTGTTCCCCTTGTCGTTCAAGATACGCCCGTATGTTCGATGCTGTCCTCTCCTAGGCAGGGCGCGTGTCTCGACGGTCGAATATCCTGATCTCGGGCCTTGCCTCTCAATTGCGCATCCAGCCAAGGATGGGATTTGTGTCGACCAGCTGTTTCGCTCGCCAGAAACCAACTCCCAGAGGATCTAGTCAGAGTCTAGATCCTCCTCGCTTTTCTTTTTCCACCTAGGCCTTCCGTTCGTTGGTTGCTCGTGGCTTTTGCGCCTCGTTCTAGATCGAAGCGGCTCCCTTACGTCTGGATGGGCTCATTGCCATGCACCTGCAACGGCGCTAGATCCACGACCGGTCGACGGAACCCTGGAATGCGGCCTCTGGTAGCTCCCTTTCTCCTTCTGACAGAAGGACGATCCGGCACGAGCTAGAGGGTAAGAAGAAGATGAAGATGAAGAAGGGATTGCCTGGCACAACAGCTCTCACCAACACACTCGCACAGGTAGTGTAGGAAGGGAAGCAAGTAGCTTTGGCAAGCAAGAAGGAGATGCCAAAGCGTCTCGGGCTCGCTTGAGATGGCCTTCAAGGGCGGAGGAGTGGCCGAGAGAGGATCTGCCCAGAATGTGAGAAAAGACGGGGAAAACTGGGCCCCTAGGAGATTTTATTTTATTTGAGCAGGCATGGCAGGCCAGGCTGGAGACGCGAGATGCCAATGCAAGGGTGACCCGAACGAGTATGGTAACCTTATTGACAGTCTGCTTCTTCGTCCTCTGGCCTCTCCTGTGTCAATTGGTGCCCTGGAGCCGGGCAGAGAGCAAGCCCTTTCCATCATATCAACGGCATGTCCATCCACTCCCACCTCGCCATGCAGGCGAGGCACCAAGCATGGATCCCAAAGTCCCTACCAACCCCTTTTGGCACCAGAGGTAACCCGACTGCTGGGCCGGTCGGTGGGCTGGTCGACCTAGGGCGGACCCGTCTTCCAGAGCGAACCCCTTGTCCAGGATTGGCGCTGCAGAAGGAGGGTAGCGAGGGTACCTACGTGCTTTGTCGACACGGAGACGGTGACTTTGTGCAAGCCGGCACACACATGAGCTTGTCATGTACCTACTGCTTCACCCATGCTTCTTTTCCCGACCTAGCTACCTGGCTACCTACAAGTACCATGCGCGGATTCAGGAGGCGACGACCCAAGGCCTGGAGGACGAACAAGCCAGAATGCGGTCCTAAGGATGTGGGATCCCTAGTGCAGAAGCCACTTACGAGACATGGATCTGGGGTCTTGATGGCCTCCACCCGAGCCCCCCTTTAGTCGTATGCCAGAATTGTACAAGTTTGGATAGACATTCAGTTGGACAGGACTGATCTGCGAGGCACGCTCAGACTTGCCTGTCGTCACCCGTCACCCTTGCGAAGAGGATGTGCAGGCAAGCAACCGGTCCGGATGGGCAAGGGCACCACCAGTGATCCAAGCAACTTCATATGTATTTGTAGGTATAACGCAGGCAATCACTTTCTCGCATTGCATGCATCTCCGAGACTTGTTTGTGTTTGCTCTTAACGAAAGTCTTCGGAAGCATCTCGCTGTTCTGAGCGAGCAGGCGACATGCGCATGCAGCATGCAGGAGGGTCCGTGCCTGAGAACACTCTCCAGTCATTGGAGAGACCCTATGTCATCTAGAGAGGCCATGCGCGAGAGTATATGCAACCTGTGGTAGGCGAGAATGACTGACCGAGGTGGATTGGCCAGTCATGGGTTGCAATGCCAGGGACAAACAGAATCGATGCCACACGTTGTGGACGACAGCATTTGCTGCTCTGTGTTGGGACGATGCCAGATAGTTCTTCCGCGGCTGCAGACATCACGGCCATGAAATCCCTCTCTCGAGTCGAGCGGCCGCCTGCAGCACGAGTCGAGTATTTTGCTGTTGGCCATCCTACCTATCCCCGAGCCGTGGAAAGCTAGGGATGTTTGACAACGGTCCAGCCCGCCAACAGCTCCCTGCGTACCCAGCCACCCCGAGCCGTCAGACCCTGGCCAATCCAGGCTTTCGGGTTGGTTCTTTCTTTTCGAGTAAAATTTTATTTTTATTCTGGGGCGCTGCCGTGCTTGCGTCGGTGACACGGCTTGCCCACGGGCCAAACGACAAGGGATTGTGATGCGGGTTCGGGCATGAAGGAATTCGGACGTGTATGTGACTAATAAGATGGATATTCTCGTTAAATTGGTTGTACGAGCAGCTGCTAGGGATGTGCTGTACTATTTTGCACGTGGCGATCGGGACTTGACCCTGGCACTCGCCCTAGAGAAGACTGGACCGGTTTGCCCCCCGTCCGGTACATGTCCATCAAACGAGGAAAAAGCAAGGCAAGGCGGACCTCGCCATCTACGGAGTAGTCCGTGCTGTTAGGCCGGCTGTGTAGTTTGGGAAGTCGGGTTTGCGTATTGCCGCAAGTGACAGGTCATTCGCGCCGAGTGCAACTAGATCAAGGTCTGGCTTCACTTCTAGAAAGCAGGAGGAGAGTCAGGCGACCGGCTCGGTGGCGTCACTCACCCCTCCAGTTGGAGCATTGAGGATCTCGAAAGCGTTGACGCTCAGACTCTGCAAGGACTGTGCGCAATACTACAAGGGCCGATCAAAGATCCCCTAGTGACGTGCTGCCGCCGGCTCAATGGCCACCATTGGCTCGCTTTCTACGAACAGACACAAGCCAAACTGCTTCGACTGTCTTGATCGAAAGCGGCGTCTGGTTGTTGCAATAAAAATGAGGCATCTTGCGCAGTTGGGGGGCAGTGGTTTGTGCGTTGTTGAGTCCATCTTGAGCAACGGGAGGGATCATGCTCCGGAAACTGAATGGAGATGGTGGGATAGACCCTGGTGGGAACCAGAGCCAGAGCCAGAGACGCACCAGTTACCAATGGAGTCCCCAGGCTTCGTATTCGTGTTGTATGTGCCTGAGAGGAGTTGACTGGCTGGTAACAGAAGTACTTGACTATTTATCAAACCTATCGCTTCCAGGGAGTGGGATAACCCGCGTAGCTCTGAGACTGCCGGATGCTCCAAACCCGGGCATCCCTCTGGGAAGAGATCATAAAAAGAAGTAAATCTACTTGTAGTTATGAATGATTCGGTATCAGCAAGGATAACTTTGCTTTTCTTCTGGGGGCCCAGGTTTGCGCGTCTCAGGTGTGAGGCGCAAAATCCACATGCCGAGGAAGGTATAATCCGGGATGATCACTCTTAACACTACTTGTATTTCATACTATCTGTAGTTACAGAGGTCGGGTTGCAAAGATCTATGAGGGGATCTCACAAGAAATCATTATGCTCCGTCATTGTCTGACTTCTGGCACGAGTGTATATAAACACCCGTCGGCTATGCCACGATAGTTAGCAACTTTGTGGTGTGTACAATCGCTGAAGCAAGTTCATCCCTGGCCAGGTTGGTGATATCGCCAGCTTTGCCTTTGCTGCCACGACCTCTTGGCTTCATGAAGGACCCACGGCGAGAGGGGAGCTGGGAGGAACCCGGTGCCTGCGCTACCTCTGGGATCCTTGCCAGACCCCTGCCTGCGTTCTATCCACAGTACTTGTACGCATCCCATGTCAACGGGCACCCCGACCCGGTTGGCTGAGGTGATTCCCAGATGCATGAAATCCCCAAGTCAGACATACCATCGGTATCTCCCCTAGCGTCTCGAGGATGCTCAAGAACAGGCCGGATCATTCAGAGCACCCTGGGCTGTGGAGGGTCGGCAAGCGCAGAAGAAGAAAGAAGGTGATTCCATGGTTTTCATCCTCGTCTCGAAATCAAGAGAATCGGTAACCCAAAATTCTTTCTACTGTATTAATACAGGTTTTAATACCAGGGATGTGAGATGGATCATATCCGATCCTTGCTTCTCCTTTGTTGATCAGCCCATAAGCAAGAAGGGGACCAGGGAGTGAGGAACAGACATGAAGGAGACCTGATCAACGCAGAGCAAAAAGAACTTTCGCATTACAAGTAGTTTGCGTGTGACCAGGTCTACCGCTGAGAAGACCACGTAGTTGCTCGCCTGAAAACAGCACCCCTTCCCCTTCACGGCTCTGCACAGACGCTTGGCTGCTTTCTAGAAGCAGCTGAAAGGCCGTCAAGGACGTAGGACGGCGGGAAGCACCGAGCTAGTCGTGGACAGTGCTCCGGAGCTGAAGATCTGGTTCCCAAGATAGAAAAAGATCTTCGCATGGTTGCCCGACTTTGTCCACGTTACTTGGCGCCGCTTCTTCATGATTCAAGAAGCCAGGTAGGCAAGCCTAATCTACGACTGATGAACTGGTGGCTTTTCGTGCATGGGCTAGCGTCATGGGCGATGGAGACGACGGGGCTTTTTCAACGGTCATCTCTGATAAAGGCAGATTGCTCGTGACAGAGTCTCGTGAACCAGTGTCCAAGTATGTACAAGTACTAGGCAGGCGTACGAAGGTGCAGGTATCGCGCGGCAAGAGCCCACCCGTCCCTCCCTTCCATCTTCGCAAGCATGAACCGCCGCCGCTTTGACCTTTCTGCACCGACGGGAAGAGTGCCATCAAGCCTCTTTCTGCATTATCACCGTGGCTGGTCCATCATGATTCGTAGGCCAACCTACTCGGCCGAGAAGGGAGGGTCTCATCAAGAGACCATGAACAAGAAACCGTGAACACTGCGCCCATATGGTCAGTATGCGCGTTCCAAGATATCTTTCGACGCCACCACTCCTGACACTTGGGCATCTAGATATTTGTGCTACACCTTGATGCCGCAGGACTAATTGCTCAAAGGTTCAGACACCAAAGGTCTGTGGCTTCGACGGAGCGGTCCGTTGTCATTCCTATTCGGCGGGTGAGGTCTCAGTTGCTGACGAATGGAATTCACGCCACACCACCGGATCCTGCCTGAGACACTATTGTCCCAGGATCTCGCTGCAGAGAGCAAGGACCAGCCCAATACGTCGTCGTTCGCGCCTTGAAGGAGCAAACATGATTCAGGTACGACATCCCGGTCCAGTTCTATGGCTCTTGGCACATGCTGCTTTCGTCTGGCATGTCCCTTCCAAGCCTGGTGCAGAAGCCGGCGCGCCCAACTGCCACGAAGCTAGGTTGAACGTCCTGAAAGCCAAGCGGCCAGACGAGACAGCTGCGACAGCTGGGACGGTCTATTCCGAGGGGCTGTGCATCCCAAGCATGAACAATTAGCTTCTGACCGGCTTCGATTGGTGTGGCCAAGGCTGGGGTTCTCCTGTCCATTCAGACGGCGTGTCAGATTGAGGCAAGGTCGAGGTCATTTCCCTGACTTCTCTCGTCGCCAGGTCATCCTGGTCAGCCTGGCTCTGAGAGCTTCCTCCTGGATATTTGGGGTAGGCCATGGTTCCTTGCGGAGATCCACGTGGTGATCAACACCGGACACTACGGAGTACACCATCCACCAAGAAGGATCGTGATCTAAGCTCAAGCCGGCGACACTGGCACAACATCAGGAGCAAAGGCGGTAGTGTAGCAAAGAGGAGGGCATCGTGACATGCAGGCGACATCTTTGCAATTCCTCAGCTTGCAAAATAAGGAGAAGCCACTTGGCAGGACCAGTGACGCTGGTGAGGTAATTCGGTTCGAACTTGTGTAAGTGGATTCCTGCAGCTGAACCGTTTTGACGTTAGCCCGTCCTTGAAGCAGCTTCTAGCGCGCATCGCTCGCGGCTTTTTCCAGAAGCCTTCCCCGGATGAGCTGCCAGAACAAGTACGTCAACCCGGAACCGAATTGCTGCAATTTCATCCATCTACCCAGCGACTTCCCCTAGTCCAAGGTAGTCATTGGAGATAGATTATGGTGGCGTTGAGGACCCATCAAGCCGGGCTCGAATGAAGTCGTCTGTGGAGGCCTGATTTTGATGTCTGCAACATTGACGAATGTGCCACTCGCTCAGGGCACCACGACTGGTCGACCATCGCGATACTAAGTGGACCACTCTGAATCCTCGGTCTATTCAGGTGAAGAACACTTCAGCTGAAGCAATACTTGTGGCCGGGACAACCCTGCCAAGTGAGGAGTCTAGTCACCCCGAAAGCGCCCTCTTGCATGCAGGTCATTTGTGCTTGCCCTCATCCGTAGGTTCTGTTTCGTCAAATCTTGTTTCAGGGAGTCGAGTTGATGCCGTGTCTGGTTTCCGGGGAGGTGCAAGCTCTCCCCGTGTGCCGGCCTTGGTAGACGGTCATACTTTTCTGGTTGATGCGACCGGGCGGCGCAGCGTCGCAGTGCAGATCGCCCTCATTGCAACCTCAGACATTGGCGATAGTGGGGGACGAGCCTTTTCCAAACACTTTCCCGGGGTTATTCCTCTTTTGCTGGTCCGAGTTGGCCTGTAGAGGGTGCCCTCTTCACGTGTCTGGAAGGAGATAAGCCCGCTGGCAGCATTGGCTCTGCGTCTGTTCCTCTAGCTGCAGGTACACTCGTTTACAATTGTGGTTCGGTCTACAAGCCGACTGCTACCTTGCGGGAGCGTTGAGAACCAAACAACCTATAGAGGCACGATGGCCGCCATCCAAGAAGCCAAGGAAGTATCGATAATGGGCGGTGAAGCGTGAAGGATGGTTGCGAAGACGCATTGCCTCCCTTCCACGTTGTCGCCAGCAGCGGCAGCTTCTCAGTCCCATTCTTACCCATAATGCAGGTGGTTTGGAAACATGCTCTTGGGGCCCTACAGCTTCCTGCCGCCGACTGCACCGGGCCCAGGCCGATCCGTGAGCCTGGCTCCGGGGGGTTGGTTTCCCAAGTGTTTCTGCCACTCCTTCCGCGGGGTCGGGGCTGCAGAAAGCCAAGATCACCCTCTGGGCACAGCACGACAGGCCCCCCCCTTGGTAACAGGATCCGTGCTTGCTCACTGACAGCCAGATCTCGCGCGCGCACATCTGCCCGCTCGGGTGCGGAGAACTTGCGTGGGCAGCAGAAGTGGGCAGGACCCTGGCCTGGATGTGACTGCGACGGTGGTACCTGCTGGTGGGGGGGAGGGTTTCACTGGACTGGCTGGATAGCTATGAACATGTCTCTTCGATGCAACCGTGTCAGAGACGTTCGCAATCTCTTTACGGCTTTGACAGCCAGCGGCAGTGTAGAATCTGCCACCCCAAGCCCCGGAGGTAGATGGCAGGATAACTCACGGGGCAAAGTCCGCACCAGACCTGGCGTGGTAGGCCTTCCGTTTCGGCACGCTTCGGGCCGGTGTAGCACCGGCAGCGTTATGACGAGGTTGATATACTATATGCAAGAGTCTTGGGACCAGTCTGGAAGGTGTTCATCAAAAAGCCAGGGAACAGTGCTGCTCGGGTGACGTGACGCTTTCCTGCCCGACATCGTATTAGTTACATTGCTCAGTTCACACAAAGCCATGGCGAGTCTGTTTTGCGCGTAGCGAAGTTCAAAGACTCAGCAATAGAAGCCAATGCTGGACTCGTAATCCTTGTGCAGGGTTGCGAGAATGCATTCATGAGCTGCTTTATGTGAAACAAGCATGTTGTGCTGCTTCCCTCTCGATATCGGAAAGGCGAAGCCAGGGCCTGACACGACACTAGTTCAGCGTAACAGCCAAAAGGCCTCAGCCACAAAGTGTTAGGAACCAACGAAGCCATCTTGTGTAGATCTTACACCACAATGTTTGTTTGGACGCCGGGTTCTAAGTGTCTAAGCCTACAAACTCCCTCTTTGTACAGCCAGCGTGACGGCCATCTCCGTCGTTTCATGGATATCTCCCATTTTCATTCCCTGTTCTTCAACGACACCAGGCTGTCGCACATTGTTTCATGAATTATACTCGCCCGTCCCCTTAGTCCTCGTCCCAGTTCTGCCCGAATGGTTAGTTTAGTTTAATCAAGCTGAGGGAGGGATGCATAAGTGGACTTACAGGGTTGGGTCCTGGAGGCTTGGGTCCGCCGGCTTGCCGTGCAACAATGATCTGGTCTACGGACAGAACGGTGCGAGCAGCCTCGGTGGCGAGCTTGATAGCCCATTGCTTGGTGACGAGAAGGTCCAGAATGCCGGCGCTCTCGGCATCTAGAACGCCAGTGTTGTCGTTGTTCTACAAATTGGAGGTCAGCAATGCCCTGTAACGTATCCCGCGTGTTGCATCGTACCTCAATGTCGACTCCGGACGTCCACTCCTCCTTCTTGTGCGCGGCAGCATAGAGTCTGCTGAGAACTTCGGTGGCGTCCAAGCCAGCGCTCTCTGCAATAGTCCTCGGCACAACCTCGAAGGCCTCTCCGAACTTCTTGATCGAGTATTGGGGGAGGCCAGGCGTCTTGTCACCAAAAGCCTGTAGCCTCTCGACCAGCTGAACCTCCGTAGACCCAGCACCGGGGACCAACCTGGGGTCTCGAGTGATAGCCTTGACAACGTTGACACCGTCATCGACAGCCCGCTCGATATCATCCAGATGGTTCTGCGTAGCTCCCCGGAGGACAAGAGTTGCTGTCCTCGTCACCTCGTCTTCCTGGCGGAAGACTGTAACCCGATCACCGCCAATCTCCAAGGTCTCGACGATATCGACATTGCCGATCTCATCAGGCATCGGCGCTCCCAGCCGGGCCAGAGGGGTTGCGCCGACGACGCGGCATGCTCTCCGCAGCTCGAACTTGCTGAGGATCTTGATGACCAGGATGCCGTACCTGTTCAGATAATGCAGAGCCAGGTCTCCCACCGTCGAGCCAGCAATGACAACCCGAAGACCAACATCATGCAGCTCCTTGATAGCAGCCTCCAGTTGCGCCTCCTCACCCTTTGTGAAGTCCATCATCTCCTTTGCGTTGTGTAGCAAGACCGTGCCCTTGGTCTCAGTCTGGCTGATGTCGATGGCGCAGGTGAAGACTCCGACCTTGGCCTTCTTGGCCTTCTTCACCGATCCATCAGGCTCCCTGTTGAACACCATACCCTTGACAACCCGGCTCTGCTCCAGGCTGCCACCCATAATCTTGACGACGCGGATGTTGTCGACGTTGAAGTTGACGGGGTTCTTGGGAAGGACAGCAAGGACGGCCTCGGCGACAAGATCGGCGAGGAAATCCTCATTTCCGTTCTGTTTGCTGGCAACAACGGTGCGGATAGCTTTGCTCAGCTCCTCCTGGGACCTTAGATCCTCAACCTTGTCGACAGCAAGCTGCTCCAGAGTCTCGAGCGCGAACTTCTGAGCCTTCTCGTAACCCGTCACAATATCTGACGTCTTCAGGCCCATCCGCAGCAGGTCCTCCGCCTTCCGTAGCAGCTCGCCGGCGAGAACAATGACAAGATTGGTCGCATCTCCCATCTCAGCCTCTTGTTGCTGACTCGCCATGACCAGGAGCTTGGCTGCGGGGTGAACGACATCGAGTTCCTTGAGGATCGTGGCGGCGTCCGAGGTGAGGATCATCTTCTGCAGGTGGTTAATGACAACCTTGTTCCGTCCATAGGGCCCGAGAGAGGTCTGGACGGTAGAGGCGATGGCCCGGCAGGCATCGATGTTGCGCAGGACAGCTCCATCCTCCGAGTCGTAGCTATAGTTGGTCAGCACAAGAGCTCTCCATGGAGGGGGAGCGGTGACTTTGGGGCAACGGACTTGTTGTAGCCCCCCTTGAACAGGCCGGCGTTGGGGGCGCCGGGAATATTGAGAGACATATTGAGCCTTGTTCCCTTCTTTCCTGAACGATATGGTTATTTGGGATTGGGTCGTGGTAAAGGGCTTGCGGGAGCAACTCGTGATGCGGGACTCAAGCTCCTCAAAAAAAGTTAGAGCACCACCAAATCCCCAAACTGTAGCCTTGACGCGGGCAGCAGATGGGCCAGGCACCAATCAAATGTGTGGTGCAATTTAGTTAATCCAGTGCCCGAGATCGCCCCAAATTTTGGTGCTTTCAAGGGCCCACAGCAGCGCCAAAATGCACTGAAAGATGGAGGCTCCAACGCAACGACCAGGCTCCAGGCTAGAAGGTTTTAGTATGCCGAACCACCTTACCCATTCCGGAGGATCACCAACAGCTGGAAACAACCTTGCAGCTTCACTCTTGTGCAAGGGATACAATACACGGTTTTTCGCGTCCATTAATCTTCTCTTCACACCCTCAACCAATACATTCGCTTCCCCCACCTTTGTCTCTCTTACAAAAACACCATAGTCCAGTGTTTCTTCATCGCATTGTACCGATACTGATCCTGGACATTCTTTCTCCATCAAAGTCGAACCACATTTCGTCGGTCGCAATTAATCAAGACATCTTACAATGGCTCCAGGTCAGTTCCTACTATGTCCATTATCTACCTGCGCGCCTCTCTTGTGCCCCAATTACTGCTTCTATCAAGTTGAAAACGGCAGATCTGCGCTTGTTGAATGTTGAATCAGGATGCACTGACACCGGACCAGCCAGCTCAGCCCCTCCACCACTTGCGCCCTCCGTCGAGGAGGCCTATCGACGGAAATGCATCCAATTGAAGCAGCGCACGAGCGAGGTCGAGGAGTCCAACGACGCAGCACGCCTGCGCCTCGCAAGGCTCAAACGTCAGGTCGAGAAGATGAGGATAGAACGCGCCTACCTGCTCGAGCAGCTGGCCAAGCGCACCAGCGCCAACGTCGAAGACTCTGACGGCAGCCCTAGCCCCCCGCCCACGGTATGTGTTCCTTTGCCCTCCCTTTCTTTTTTCCCCAGCACCGGCGAACTTGGTTCGAGGCCGCGAAAGCTAACATGATGAGATGCCGCAGCCCCAGGAGAAGCCGTTGCGCACCAAGAGGGGGCATCGCAAGCCGTCGGTCCTCAACGAGCTGCAGACCAACAACGCTCCGGGCTCGACCTTTATCAACCAGAACCTCACCACCCTCTCGCCGTCCTCGGATGCCTTTTCTCATACCCTCGCAGACACCCAGAGCCAAAGCCAGAAGGACGCAAAGGACTCCAAGGGCAGCGACAAAGACGGTGCGAATGGCACATCTGCGGCCAAGGAGCCTAGTGACGCCTTTGAGTTCTACTGCGCTGAGATGCGCCCCGAGTTCAAGGAGAAGGCCGAGGACAAGGACGACGACGAGAAGATCGAGGCCGAGCTTGCCAGGAGCTGGAAGGATCTGTCCAAGGACGAGCAGGCAGTCTACGAGGAGCGCTTCGAGGAGGAGAAGGAGAAGCAGAAGAAAGCCAAGAAGGACGAGCCAGCCAGCCAGGAAGCCGCGGACCGGCGAGAGGGCGCAGAGCCAAGCCAGGCCGAGGACACTCCGCAACCCGCCACGCAGGACGAGGATGTGGAGATGGGCAACTACGACACGGAGCCAGATGCCACTCCTAGCGGCGATAAGCAGGCTGACTAGGAGCGCGGCGTGGGTCATTGCCGTCCGTCGTAGGCAAATTTGAGAGCAGCTGGGGCTGTGAAGAACGGGCACCCTCGAAGGATAGGATTGGTCTGGCCAGGCAAGTCATTAGGTTCACGTCTTGTTTTAGACCGAGGTCTCTCTCATCGGAAAGTCTTGAAGGACTTTCCCCAGTGAAATAGACAGGCGAGGCAGGATTAAGGATAGCCATGGTAAGCGGCGTAACGGAGTAATGGTATCAAAAGATAGCTTGGTCAAGGGTTACTGGGGCGAATTGTATCTCGCTCTTCACAAGTTGATTCATCCAATGCAACCCATTTTGGAGCTGTTCATATCACACCGTGGCTTTTTAGGAACATCCTTGACAGTCTGCCTGTGCGAATTGCAGCCGTGAAGCGCTGTATCTATTACTAGCTGAGAATGCAGATGTGTCAGGGGGGCAGAGGACGCGAAAGGGGAGGGGAAGCCCATTGATCCCATTATGCTAATTCATTCAACAGACTAGAGACCGACCGACTCATGGGAATACAATAATATGACAATATAAACCAGAAAAGATGGAAAGCATAGCCATGGCGCCCCCGCCGTATAAACGCCCATCGCTCATCCCGTCGGTGCATCTCGTCAGTCGACGCCGACATACAAATCAACAATGATGTTTACAATGGCGACGACGATTTCGGCCGCAATGAGGATGATGACTGGACTATGGTCAATACCCATCGAGTGTCTGAGCATTGGTTCACACCAGAGGAAAGCGACTCACCAATCCACTCCAGCTTCTCGCCATGGCCATGACTCAGCTGGTCCTTGAGCACAGCAAGCAGGTCGGCGATGACATCGAGTCTCTCTGTCAGCAGACCTACTCGCTGGTCCATTTCTAGATAACTCCGGACGGCCTGGTAGACGGGCTCGAGCTGTGGCTCGACCCAGAAAAGCTCAGGTGTGTCAAGTACGGAGCCGTTCAGATGGATATTGATACGCAGGATAAAGAGCTCTCCAATCTGCATGTTGATTTGGGTGCGGCTCAGAGCGATCTTGCCGGTCAGTGCGATCTGCGTGGGGATATCCTTGCAAGTATCAATCGTCGAGGCGATCAGCTCCTCAAAGAGCGACGTCTACATGGTCTTTATTAGTACAAGCAACTTTGCGCTTCTTAGCCCTTAGCTGACATACCTTGACACTCTGAGCGAGGGCATGGGAGATGGCCAGTTTTGTCATATAGTTATTCTTGTCCCGAAGCGTGATGAAATCATTGTATATCCGGGGCTGGTACTCTCTGGTGTAGTAAAAGTTAAAATATTCCGTCTCCACGTCGTCAGCGGCAAGCTTTTCGGTTTCGAACTTGGCGATCTCTTTCAAGAAGCGTTCCTCGTGGGCGAGTGACATGCCCCAGATGACCACCACGCCGTAGTCGAACATGAACACCTCTGGAGTGTGTATGTGTATATCGAAATCAGCAGGTCGTTCGGAGAGGGCACTATCATCCCCGACAACCCGGCCGAGCAGATCCGCCTGGTGGTCACTCGTTTCCGGGTGGTAGCCGTCATGGTGAAGGCCGTGGTCTTCACCCCCTTGGACCATGTCGATGAGATTCTCGCGGTTGAAACTCGAATTGTCAACCTCGCCCGTTGAGTGTCGCCGCTCATACAGCTGAACAGGCCTCGAATGCACCTCTAACAACTCTTCGGGCCTTGTGGTCTCCGCCTGCTTGGCGGCATAGTTGTACGGTGTATATATGCACTCGTCGATGAGTTTGGCATTTGCGCCCCTCGTCTTGCCCCGTCCCTTGAAGAATCGCATCAATGCATCCATCTGGTATCTGTTTGCCGTGCAATACGCAGTCACTCGTGGCAGCCTATCTCGGTCCGCCTTGCCCAGCCTCGCAGCATCTCTCCTGGCAGTCGGGTCCTTGATCCGGGTGTATTGACTGTAGACATCTCGGCCGCTCTCTTCGTCGATTTCGTTGTCCAGCTCCGGATTCGGTAGGAGCTTGAGCTTCTGCGCGTTCTTGGAGCTCCGCTGCGGTCCGATCTTGGGCGCGGGAAGAGGAGGAAGGGCCTGCGGTACGGAGCCGTGGCTGTTGCGACGACGCAGCCTGCTGTTGAGGGCCGAGAGCATGGGAGGGCCGCTGCCAGCCAAGCTCCCCGTTGCCATTGCGGTACTAGAAGATCCAGGCAACGCCCCAGTGCTCGAGCTCGCAATGACGCCATGATGCGAGGTCCGAGGTCGAGGTGGTACAGGTTCAATTGTCCTGGTCACAGGGTTCGGATTGAACGTGACTGTGCGCGCGGCCTTTGGACGAGTCCCTGAAGGAGAATCTGGAGCGGCTTGTATCAGAGGAGACGTCTCAGTCGCGTTCTCGGCCATGGTGACGGTCGTCGCTGGTTCTCTTCGACGAGATCCAGAGCTCGATGTGAATGAATCGCCCTACAGGACGTACCGTGTCGCCGTTATCGAGCTGCCATAAGGCAATATATTCCGCCAAAAGCCGAGAGAGGGTCGATAATGGCTAAGAGAAGACTAAAATGGCGATGCCAATCCAACAGCTTCGCAAAGGTGGTTGTGGAGGATATGTCAGGCGAGGTGAACATAAAGGTTGTTTGCAGCACTGACCACCAGTCAATTGAATGACGTCTCGCCGACAGAGGATTTACTGCGCAGATTTGCTGATCCGCCAATACCATGCAGCGCTCAGTCCACACCTGTAGCTGGGTCCAATAGAGAATTGCGGGGAAAGCTGCACTTTATTGTGGTGCTACAAACGAGCGGTTCTACCGACTCAGGCTTTGAACGAAACCACCAAGTCCTGTAGTACGGATTCTTGTAAAGGCTCCCGACAATGCACGAGACAGACCATCTCTTCTTCATTTGGAGCAGCTTGCCAAATAAAATTGTTCTTGATTCGCTGTTCTTGGGCAAATTGAGTAGTTTCTGTTACATGTTGCCGGTCTGCTCGATTGTAAAGAAACAAGACCTAGGCCTGGGAGTCCAGTAACCTGGATTCGAACTTGAGTCCTCCTGTCTCCAGTCTATCTATGTAGCCTTGTCCCAGACAAGCTGGAGTAAGAATACCCGGCCCGAGTTCAACATCGTCCTCAAGCAATGTCATTGCCGCTTGGGTGACGAAAAGCGCAGTCACTGGGAAAGGACGGGTTAGATAAGTCAGGGAAAGCAATGGTATCATGCGATAACTCACAGTTGTACATACTCCCCACGTAGTGGGCTCGACAGTATGCCATCTTGTTGGAAGAACCCGGCAGATCGGGCGTCGCGACTCCTCGATAATCTATGTCCTCATCCTTGGCCGCCTCTTTGTCCGGGCCGTCTCCAGGCTTGGTGACCAACTTCTTGACGAGCCATCGAAAAGGGGGCAAAAGCATCAGCAACATGCCAGCAACGGCAAGGCCAACATGCTTCACGATCCCATCCAGCCAACCACTAGCCTTCAGGTACTCAGCAAAGGTGAATCTTGGTCCATAGAAGTCCTGTTTCCGCGATGGAATCAGCGAGAACAGGCCCCAGGTGCGCTCCACGATGCCGGCATCCGTCCGTCCAGCAATAAATGTTGTCTGGAGGCCAAGATGTGGAACAGAGCGCAATCCTGTCAGCCTTGTGAACAAGCTAGGTTGTTTGATGGGCGGGCGCGGATTGGGCAGGGGAGACAGCGCGAATGGGGCCAGGCTTTGGTTGAGTTCCTTGACGGAAAACGAGTCGAAAAGACCAAGTGCAGACGCTAGAGTACCTCCTGATGGGCGAGCACTGCAATCAAGTCAGCGCCTGCGACAGTAAGCATTGGGTTATGTAGTGCTCCCCCGACTCACTTTAGGCGGTAGACTGAGACGGTCACGTCTGCTGTTTTTGCTTGTAGCTCGGTCCGTATCAACGAGGCAAGGGTATATGTCACAACATCAGGAAGGCAGCTATCGATGCCTATTTGCGGTATCATCAGGGCACCGCTGGCCTGGGCCGTGCTCTCATACTTCTTAATCATCCTGGCAACCCACGGCGTCTCTCCTGTGACGTCTAGGTAATGGGTTCCATTTTCTGCACAAGCCTTGAAAGCATGTTCGCCAGAGACGGCATACGGCCCGACTGTGGTGATCAAGATGGATGTTTTGCGAGCAAGGGCTTCAAGATCTGAACCATTCAATCCACATATTTCCACGTCTATAAGAGGACATCAGCTTTTAGTCGAGTAGGACGAAGCAGCCAGGGAATGGACTTCTGGTTAGCTTACCAGGCTGAAGACGCTCCGGGTTCAGAGCCTTCAGATCTAACGCGATCTTCTCGAGCTTCGACCTCGACCGGCCTGCAATCGCCCAACGCAAATTTGTAGGTAGTGAGTTCGTGATAAACTCGGCAATGTATACACCGGTATAACCTTTGAGACAGCTACTAGTCAGCTTACACCAAGCAAATGTCTGCGGCGTATATAAAGCATGATTGGTGAGCCATACCCGTCGCCCCAAAAACGACCAGGTCATACTGGCGATTATGTTTTTTGGGTGTCATGGTCGCAGCAATTGGAATAAGAATGAATTAGGAATTGAAGACGGAGAGCGTGGTTTATTTTGCACAACAGACTCTAGCTCCTGGGGACGGACACACTTAATGAACGGGAGAAGATGGTGTTGCGAAGCCGAGGTTCGTGTTGATCATTTTATGATACTACCTACCTACTACAACACCTCCTGCTTGAGAGGGCAGGTAGGTCAGGTCCATGCTCATACGATCTTGCACGCCAAGGGACGTTTTTAGAAATCAACCAGCCTGTTGGCAGCCAAGTCTAGAATGCCTAATGATTCAGCACTGCAAAAATTCGAATCCCATAATCCCCCCATCATCGCACACTATCAGGGCATGGGCAAAGCAGTGTCTATTCTCATGTGATGGGAGAGTCTACAAGTATGTCTTGTTCCTTAAGAAAGAGGAATACAGTGACCAAACACCTCTTGTCACTGCTGCATTAGTCGATGTGCCCTACCAATAGTCGCCCGGTAGTGCCCTGGGGACCGGCTGCATGTGCCAGCTGGAAAAGCACGGGCCATCGATTAGGTAATCTTCAGGGGAGACCTTCCACTGGGAGACTGGATGGAGACTGGATGAGCGAAACGAGGTGGGACACATCACGTGAGGACAAATTTCACGGGTGCGACTGAGCGCACAGAATTAGATTTTGCCAAAAAATTGCGGGATCGCAACCACTCCGAGATTCCACCAGCACTGACATCGTCAACTTTGAACAAATCCACGTTCATCCGACACCCAAGACGAGATGGCTGCCCGAACCAAGAAAGTCGCCGTGACCGGTATGTTCGAATCCTCCATTTCATTGCCCAAATCTGTCGGGTCATTTCGCCAGAGGAGCAGAAGAATCGTGAATTGCTAACGTCCCCCACAGGCAAGTACGGCACGAGATACGGTGTTCGTAGCAATTCTCCCTGACTACCACGCGAATGAACGAAGCGACTCACAGAATGAATTTAGGCCTCCCTGAGGAAGCAGGTTAAGAAGATGGAGATCACCCAACACGCCAAGTACCAGTGCACCTTCTGCGGCAAGACCACCGTCAAGCGACACTCGACTGGCATCTGGAACTGCAAGGCCTGCAAGAAGGTTGTTGCCGGTGGTGCCTACACCGTCTCGTACGTGGAACCCCTCGACGACACTCGCGGAAACTCGACAGTGGTTTCATCCTCGGATGTATGGAGGACATGTTGGGCTAACATTGTTTGCGTAGGACCCCTGCTGCCGCCGCTATGCGATCAACGCTCCGCCGTCTTCGCGAGATTGCTGAGGTTTAGATCTGGAGAGGAGGAGGTTTATGGACTTGCATTTCGCTTTCTGGTTGGGTGTAAAGGCAAAATCGGCTTCGGATTCATTAACGCATCATCATGGCAAGATCCATGGGTCTGCAACTCGTTGATACGACGTCAGCAAAATGAATAAATTTTCAAAACACCTACATCGCGCGCTTTCTACGACGACTCATTCGTTCTCTTTCACGAGGGACGAGTGTGCTCGTCGCATCCCGTCACATTGGTTGTTTGGGCGCGGCCTCGCCAGGGCGTTGCAGGCCTGGCATAAGGGCATGAATAACTAACGAGTGCAGTCAAATGAATACCGAGGGGAACTTGGGGCTTTCGCCTTACTCCGATCGATTGGTCCGCTGCTTTGATCACACCTCGAGACTGGGGAAGTTGATGCCTGGATTGCCTGGATCCTCGGTCAGGGAGACCTCGTTTCCCCATGGATGCCTGTTGACTCATCTTTCATGCCAGGGAATCGCTTTCCTGGCATGCGCGTTTCATCTTCTTCCGGCAAGTACAAATGGAGGAAACAGTGACATTCTCGATTACATCCACGTACGATCTGCCTTCTATCTTCGATGTTGTGAACCAGTCGAGGCTGAGTGCTTCCGATTATTTCTGCTAAGCGTTTGCGCTTTTATACCACTGATATCAAATAGATGACCTCGGGGATTTTCTGTGTCCTTTCTGACTCGGTCTACTCGCCCCTTTTGTACCTCTGCGGTCCACAGGACGGCAGTCTTGGGATTGCCTTTCCGAGGTCATGGTCTCGGCAAGTCTTCGTTACGAAAGTTATACGGAGACAGGAACTCTAACCCGTCGGGATTGCCTGTGCTACGGTGGCTGGCCGACCGGGTCGATGACTGGAATCCATGCAACTACTGTGAACATCCTTCTGCTTAAAAGAAAAGCTCAGCAAGTGCCTGACCTAGGTCTCTTTTCCCCCACTCGTGGTGAGGTCAGCTGGGCGCGTCTTCTAATCAACTAAATGCGTCACGGCGAGCGGCTTTGACCCGGTCGCAGTGTGTGACTAAGGTGGTAGGTGTGAGCGGAGGGTGTGCGCTTGTCTCTGCGTGTCCTGTGTCAGCCAGGCAAAGAGTCACGAAGGGTGAGGTGGCACTCGAGCAGGGGACGAATAGGCCGTCAGATGATTGGCCCCGGTGCCGGGCCAGCCAGCACACGCCAGCCAGCTTTGAGACTCGCCCTTCAAGGTTCGTGCTCTGTTCTCTTGTCTTTGGACTCCTCCCAAGTATGAAAGGTTCCCTGTTCTTCCTTTCTCGTGCATACCTACCTAGGTATAGGTAGGTACCTAACTTGTAACCTCTCTTGGTCTGGCAGGCAGGCATTGTTGCAGCACAGGACGTAGGTACACTTTGTCCTGCGCTAAGCCCGCAGCACAATAAAATCGGGGCGGCCTTCTATTTTCCCTTGCCGCCCTGTGCACTCTCCTCTAGTCGCTTGTCTACCACTTGACCCGACCCAACTAATTCGATTCCATTATCCTAGACCGACCTGCTTTCCCTTTTCCCTCGATCCCAAACCAGTCTACCGTTACTCGTTTTCCTCGACCACCCAATCTTTATTCCTTCCTTTTTTTCCCTCCCCCAGAGGGTCCCTTGATACTCCACCGGTTTTTCTCACCCGCCACCGACTACCACCATCAGCCACCTGAACTCGCTGAACTAGCCCACCTCCACCACCCAATCCCGCTAGGCAACCCAGGCCATTCAGCGCTCGTACAGCAGCACATGCACACCTTTATTAGCGACATTGACACTGACGACAATCGATACGTACCGCCAATACACTGACTAACGCAACCATTCCATCAGAGCATTACACCTCTGCACAACTCGAGAAAACACCAAGAGGGGTTTTATATTTGGATGAATTCCTCAACTCGGAGTATTCTGCAGCTGTGAAAACAATTACTGCAGCTTGCCATTTAGCATGGCCGACCAGTGCATTGTGTGTCTGGACAATCTAGACACCGCGGGCGCTGTGCATCCCCCACTGCTCCCTTCTGGCAGCTCCCCAGACTCGGCAGCGTCAGAGGAGCCAGACACTGCACCCGCGACAGTGCCCTCGAGCACTATCACCGCGACAATTTCGACGCCCAAACACCACGATAACCACGACAATGTTGCCATCATCGAGGTCTGCGGCCATATGCTACATGACACATGTTTGCGTGAATGGACTGGCAAAGCAAATAGCTGCCCCATTTGCCGGCAATCATTCCACTTGGTACAGGTGTACGATAAGGTTGGAGGTATGTCACCCTACATCAGCATTGTGAAAGAGACATCTATATTACAAGGCCGCAAATACTGACCAGGCTCGTCGCTGCAGGTAAACTCCTTTCCACTTATAATGTCGAAGACAAGAAACAAGTCGCCGAGTTTGATCCGCAGGCATGGCTCGACGACAACCCCGAGGAGGAGGAAGAGGTGACGCCCTGCCCCGTCTGCAACCTGGCAGATAACGAGGATGTGCTTCTCCTATGTGACGGGTGCGATACTCCGTATCATACATATTGCATCGGGCTGGATGGTGTTCCAGCGGGCTCCTGGTTCTGCATGGAATGTGCAGAGCTTCTGGGGCCAGACGCCCAGGCTCCCCCACCACAGCCGTCCACCGCAAGGACAGGAGGGAACCGGCGACGTGCTGGCTTCTTTCCTCGAACTCAAGCCAGCATGAGACGCGCGAGGCAACGGGCGCGGTCAGATGAGTGGCAAGGCGCTTGGGGTCAAATCACCGGGCGCATATGGGACATACTCGAGATCGATCTCGACCTCCATGACGAGGAGGGCTTAGAAGATTACCGCACATCACAACGGATGCACGAACTCGAGCTACGCGAGTTCCAGAGATGGCAGCAACGCCTCAACATTGCCCGCGAGAACGGTGCTCAGGATGTCTTTGCCCGCAACATCCCTCACGCTCTCCTGCAACATCAGCAAGTGAGCCACGCTAGGCAGCCACCCCAGCCGCCTGCCGAAGAGACGAGGGAAGAGAGGAGAGCTTGGGGGGCTCTAGACAGGGCAAGGGAATCCGAAGCAGCGAGTCCGAGTAGCAGGAAGCGTAAGTCGCGTTCTGTGACCGCCTCGCCGGCAGAGCCCGCCCCCGAGCCCGAGCGGCGCCTCAAGCGTCCACGCACCAGACGGATCGGTGCCCCGAGTAACGCCTCGTCCGCCGGCGAATCTGCCTCCCAGGCGCCCTCCAGAATGAGCAGGAATGGCGCTCCTGTTGCAGCAGCCCCTACTGCCAGGTCGCCTGGGCACAACGAGGAAGCCCCTTCTTTCCTCTCGTCACTCCTTCGAGAAGTTGAGATGAGCACCCCATCTGATGACGAAAATATCCGGTGTCTGTTCGGCGATAACCGGCCTGCTGTTGATCCATCGTCCCCCGGTTCTTCACCCGCAGCATCAGCGCACAATAGTCCTCGCGCTCTGTCGACCACACCTCCGCCGATGAGAAGTGTGAGACCGAGCTCTCCCACGTCACTCAGCTCGCATATCGAACCCATTTACCCCCCTGCCAACTACTCACCGACGAGGAAGCCGGGTGAGCCGAGCGATCCCGAACAACGCCAGACCAACGGGGCAGGGCCTTCAGAACTACGCCAACCCAGACCCAGACGACAGCAGCCCCTTGTTCTCCGTCGGTCTCCCGATTCTTCGCCTACCCGGCCCAACTTGTCTCTTGAAACGAAGGAGAATATCAGCAACATTGTTCGATCTGTCCTGAAGCCACATTGGAAAGGGAGCCAGCTGACAGCTGACCAATATGCGGCTATTAACCGCGACGTCTCCCGGAAGCTCTACGAGGAGGTAATAGATCCGGCCGCTATCGACGAAGATGCCCGGAGGACTTGGGAGAAAAGAGCTGAGAAAGAGGTCGCCCAAGCCATCGCAGAGCTTAAGAGCTGATGTCGGGAGGACTGCTTCGTGTGTTTGGACAATTGGCGTTTCACGGCATCGGAGGGGGGGGCAGACCTGATGCGATTGATACCCACAACATATTACTCCTGATTTGCATCTTCAGCTTGGGGCACCCGACCAAAGCCCCATCATTGTTTTTGAGATTTACCTGTTATTTTGCTTCTGCGGGCACGGTTCATCATATCTATTTAGAGAGCACTGTAGCGTTGTGCAGAAGTCGATGGCGTTTGATGGAGTTTTGTTCCCGCATGCTTGGGGTCGGTGCGCAGCTTGGGGAGCTGCTGGATATCATGTCGAACCAATCCCATTTTAGGTACTTAGGCCGCTGTGTGAACAGCATGTAAATGTCACGCATTCGCACTTTTGGCTGCGCAGAAGACGGAGATATCTCTAGATGAGACGAAGGGGGAGAATGTGCTCTACATGGATCCGACTGACTATGATCCTTCAAGAGCTCGGGACTACGACTCTGCCAATTCGAGCAGAAGAGGCATTCAAATGTAAGCAGTATCTATCTAACAGCAACCCGGTAGAAATGTGTATTTAGCAGGAGCCGCTAGCGAAAAAGACTGCTTCAGATCTTCTCTCGGCACTCGTAAATGATCAGGACGTTCTGGAGGAAGAAACAGGTCTTGATGATAAGGAATGGTGCCTACTGACATGAAGAGGAGAAGAAGAGGAAAGGAAGGGAAAAACTACAGTGGCCCGTCTTTACTTAAGACAAGACTTTCTTTGTGGCTACCAGGGGCGTGTTGGAAGCTGGCGGGCCGGTGGCAGCTGCAGCTGGATTTCGTAGTCCACTCTGCTCTGGTTCCTCGATGGGGGTCCAGTCTCCATCGGTTTCGCGCTAAGCCAGTCTCGAGCATCGCATTGGAAAAAGTTCAGGGTCGGTCCAGACAGCTACACAGACATCGCGTGAGTTCATTCCACAACCACATTGGCCCGGACAGCATTTCGGTGTCTCTGTCAAAATGTCGGCCTCAAGTAGGGGTGCCCGTGCTTCACTAGCATTATTCAAAGGTAATTGATCAGCCCTATTACTCTCCCGGAACAGAAATGAGTTCATCAAGCTAACGACGGCTCGTCTCTTCCAATATAGCATCCCCGAGGATATGCACCCAATGTGCAGCGGCGACGACTCGCCCGCTCCTCGCTGCCCAGCGGCTGTACTCGTCTGCCGCCGCAGAAGCGGCAGCGGTTCCTGAGCCCTCGACGAGCCTGCCCGAGGAGCCGCAGGCCACGCACACCGACCCGGCGTCCACGACCCGCGCCCTCTACAAGATCAAGTCCGGCATCATCCTCACCCGCCCGCCGCTCCTGACCCGCCCGCTCACGGCCTTCGAGTCCTCCTTCTACCTCTACCAGAAGCGCCTCAACGAGCGCCTGACGGCCCCCTTCCGCAAGCCGCTCTACTTCAAGCCCGACACGGCCTCGGAGCTCGACTGGCGCATCAAGGTGCGCGAGCGCGAGGGCACGCCGGGCCGCGACATCGGCGTCTACCACGGCCGCGGCCGCGACGCCTGGAACGACGAGGTCGTCGTGGGCAGCCCGCTGGCGGACCCGGAGGCCGTGCGGGAGGCGCTGCTGCGCGACGCCGAGGCCCGCGTCAGCGAGGACGGCGAGGAGCTGCCCGAGGCCGACCGCGTGCGCGTCGAGCTGCCCGCCGGCCGCACCACCGAGGCCGACGCCACGGGCGACGCCAGGCGGCTCGACCGCCAGCTCGACCGGACGCTGTACCTGGTCGTCAAGGGGCCCGAGGGATCCTGGGGCTTCCCCAGCGCCGCCATGATGACAGACGAGAATCTGCATGAGGTAAGGGTTTTTGGCCCGGTGGTCATTCGATGATATGATAGATCGAGAAACAAGAACTTGTTTGCTGACCTTTTTCTGTGCCTATAGGCTGCGGCCAGAGTGCTCGAGTCGGCAGCTGGCGTCAACATGAACACCTGGATCGTCGGCCGCGTCCCGGTCGCCCACCTGGTCAACCACCCCGTGGTCAAGGACGGCGCCAAGGTCGAGAAGAAGGGGGAGAAGGTCTTCTTCCTCAAGGGCCGGATCATGGCCGGCCAGGCGGACCTGGAGGACAACAGCCTGGGCTTGACTGACTTCAAGTGGCTGACCAAGGAGGAGCTCAAGGACACGCTGGACCCCCACTACTACCAGAGCGTCAGGAATATGATGGCCGAGAGGTGATGAGGGAGAAGCGAGGGCTGTCGTGTCTTCCATCGCCTGGCTTCGAGTCAACCCTGTGTAAATTATTAATCGTGTACACTTGTATAGATATACATCAAAAAGCGTCATGTCTAGCTGGCTGCAAACTTCACTTTTGGTCGCAACGGGGCCGACAACATGAGGCAACAACGGCATGTCAGATCGCGAAAGCGCTGCAGTTTGCGGACGGGCTCGAGGAGAGCATTGTCTCCTATTGTGAAATAATCAGGCTCGTATGCAGTTCATGATTGTACGCTATGCTGCTCCCTATTTAATGCAAGTGCCGCCGAGCAGCACGTAATTCCTAACTGGATGGATCGTCCCGCTGGTGAGAACTCATCTCGATGTACGCATATCGAGAGACTCAGGGCTTCACTTCGTCCGGCTCAGCCTCAGCGGCGGCCGGGAACCTCAAGGTTCCTGCTGCACCGGCACAGATCTTGTTTCCGTGCTCGCGGAAGAAATCCGAGCCCCAGTCAAGGGCCATGAATTGGCACAGAGGAGTGGGAGAGGAGTTGGGCTGGTTCTGCGTCGGTGCCTCCACCGACTTCGAAGGCGTCAGGACCTCGGGCGCGAGGGGCTTGATGTGACCGACGGCGGCGCTACTATCGTCGCTCTCGTCTAGCAAGGTCATGGCGGAGCCGCACTCGCTGACCTGCTGGCTGGCCGGTGTCGCCGGTGTCCCTCTCTTGCTAGGGGATGTAGACTTGTTACGTCTAATATTGCATATTTCGTTAGTTATAGGACGCAACAAGGCCGTTCGCTACTCCTTGAAGAAAGCTTACCGTGGCGACTCCAAGTACTCTTTCTTGAGAGGGAATACGATGGGTCTAGGCGAGATGACCGGGCTTGCGGGTTTCTTTTGAGAACGGGGATCGGACTGAGTGCCGTTCATCAGTGCGACCAGGTCTTCGCCAGAGACCCTGAACCAGCACAACCTGGCGAACACGACGGCTGTGATCCAGCCTGATTTCTAAGTTAGCAAAGTTGGAAATGCTATATCTAGCGCGAGAACGAAAACTTACTGTCGTAGCCGGCTGTGTGTAGAGCCTTCTTGTTGTATCCAAAGTCGGGATGGACAACCTTCATCTTCGGCTCCGGGCGGTGGCTCAGGGTCGCATACCAGCCTTGCAGATCGAAGACCGAGATCATCGAGTGGCTGTCGTAGGTTGCCACGTACTTGGTGTCAACCATCCGCGGGAAGAGGCGGTGGATCTCTCGCTGGAAGCCGTCCACGGTCTCAGGCATTGGTCCGATGAAGGTGCGGTACAGGAAGCAGAGGTCCAGCAGCATGTTGTGTCCCACAAGGATCGGGCGGTGCTCCTTGAGCTGGGCCTCGCACTCCACGAACCATTTGCAGACCTGCGCTGCGGACTCTTTCCGCGATGTCTCCTTCTCCTTGGCTGCCGGGCTCTGCATCATCTCCTCGTTAAGCGCTTCGGCAAAGTCGCCCCCAGTCAAGGCCTCGATCACTAGGCGAAGGCCTGCGGAGTATTAGACATGTATATCCCTGAAAAGCGTGCGTGAGACTCTTACCAGTTTGCTGCCGGATGGCTTGAATGCGCTGGCTGTGTCTTGTCCGCCAGAATGTCTAGAATAATAAAAATGAATGTCAGTTCAAGTGCTGTCCATATAGCCATGAGGAGCTTGTGTGATGAACAGACCTCTTCTTCCGGATCAGCTCCCTTCTTGACAATCTGCATAAAGTGTCCCTTTGAAATGGCTCTCAACTCTTTGAATTCCTCCTCAATGAGCTGGTGAAGAAGGCGTATCTGAAGTCTGTTCATGATACCACCGTGCGGATTCTCAATGTTAAGAAAATCATACTTTTTTTTTGCAACAAGCCAAGTATCAGTGCATATGAAATCAGGGGAAAGGGGGGGAGGGGATGAATCTTACTTCTGGCTCCGCGAGCCAAGCCTGGATCTGATCCCGAGCTGTGCTGTAAAATTGACGGACATGCTCGTCTTCCTGGTCGACATCAATCAGATCGTTGTGCCGATCCCTCTCGAGCAGCTGCTGCTTGGCTTCACGTTCTTCTTGGCGACTCAGATACGGGACGCCGTGGGCGAAGGCATCCTCCAAGCGAAAGCCATGCTGCTGCAGGAAGAGAAGTGTGCTGTACGAGAGACAGACACGGCGGTCCACAGTCCTTGCAAGGGCCGATCCCGCTCCATGCTTTCCAACAAACATTGGAGTGACATGGAAGTTGAAGCATTGGGTTATATAGCAATCTGTGGCTCGCGTCCTGTTAGAGAGTGAACATCTTGAAGCGAGCTTCCGAAAACCTGCCTTCAGCCTCATCACGAGACACACAAGTCAAGCCAAACTGGACAATCTGAAAGCTCTCAACGACATCCTTGGCGTCGGCGTATGTCTGGTCCATCGTGGTTCTTTGCGCTCCCATCGGATTTTGGGACTTGATACCAGTCATCTCCAGGTCGATGGCGACGTAGCAAGCGTGAGCTATGGCGGGTAGGATGATAGGGAGCATCTCCCAGAAGTTCTCATCCTTGATATCCATGGTGCCGACTGAATCTCACGATGAACAGCATGTGGGATAGCAAACAAGGAGGCGTAGTTAGTATGCCATCACCTCGTGAGATGAAGGGAAGGTTGGATCCAGATAAGATGTGAGCGGAGAGTGAACGATGTTTGGTGAGCAAGATGCTTTTGATGGGGTACCTGGCTTCCAAATCACGCTGAATAGTCGATTCTCAGATAAAGCGAGTTGCAAAGTGAGGTTCTGGTGGCCCGCATGTGCCTTGTCGAGCCAACCTTTGATCAGCGGCCCATTGCAAGTATCACAGTGACTGTTGGGTTTCAGTCCTGACAATTGTTACTTTGTCTTTCTTGCTCGTCTTCCTTGTTAGGGAAGCTAGGTAGGGTAACAAGAATCGTGCTTGCTTAAAACAATGTGGTGTCGCTCCTCAGTCACGATCCTCATATTCCGTTTCCAGTCATCAGCGGCTCGGTGCGACTGGACGACATGTCTGTCTCTCAGGCTGGAAGCAGAAGTTGAAGTCGATATTATTGTGTTCTCGTTTATGGTACCATATTACACGACAAAGGCGACAGTAACATTTGTGGCCTACACCATCGCTGCGAAGCTTCTGAGATCAACAAGTGGTAGGTTCCTCTAGCATCCATTGCCGTCTGATCAGAGACGAATCGAGTGACATGCAGCTCCAGCATTCTGTTGTGTTCAGACCAAAGTTTGCACTCATCAATCTTATAATAACCAGAAAACGACTTTAAATTGCAACACTTTTTAGCGGTTACTACATTAGCCTGCTTCATATAGATTTTGCTATAATCCTATAATTTCACTAATAGCCTATTAAGGATCCTCTTACTAAGCACTAAAAAACCCCTATACTCTATTAATAATAGGGTATATTATTATTAGGATATATCTAGCCTCTTTTATATAGCTATTCTATATAAATTATAGTCTATTATATCTTCTTCTATATAGTGTTTTTCCTATATATAGAAAAATACCTTCTTATTAGTGTCACGAAACCAGCCGCAGTTACCGCGGGGCACCGCCCCAGACGGGCCGCAGGACTGGCCGGCAGAAAACCACACACCGCCTGCCCGAAACGGCGTGCTAACCAGTGCTCAGTTAGCAGCAGTTA